GTATTAGGCCAGAAACAGATATACTAGTTGACTTGACTCTCAACAAGTCTGATATGAACTGGACGAACCAGGTAGAAAAGAAGAAAACAACTGTAAAAAAAAAAACATGTATAGATCACTCAAATACAAGTTGTGTAAATAATGTAAACAATAACAAAAAAGAACATGTGTCTACAGGCAACCAATCAACTTCTGTACACCCAACTACTCTAGACAAATCATCTTTATCTAACACACCTAAGGTACAAAGCAACCAAAATGAAGAAACCAAACCCAAACAGTGGTCTGATCTATTTGCGAAGCTAAAGGAAGGAAAGGCAATTTATACTAACTCTTCTCTTAGACAAAGAATACACTCAAAGAATGAAAATGCACTAATTATTGATATCCAAAACTTAAACAATATACCAACTAATGATATTATTGTAGCTCTAGCTATGAGTTTAAAGGAAGAGAAAAAAACTACTTTAAACTTATTCTTAAAGATAAGGAAAAGGTGCAATACTATGCAGCTAAAAACATTTCTCTCTTTAGCAAACTCTGTTCGGTTTAATCTAAACCAATCTTTTCTAACTGTAAAGTTAAAAAACACCTCTATGAGTGATACCAAATATATTAGCAACCGCATTATAAAAGTCTTCCACTATGTTAGCCAAATAGCATCTGTTAAACCTCTCTTCTATGAAGGACAACAGTCTGCTCAGATCAAGGAAGGGCATATCAAGAAAGACTGTAAAGAACTCAAGGATTCAATAGAAGCTAGACATCTCTTTAGAGAAGCTAGATCTAGAATAAAAAAAGAAAAAAACACAAAAATTAGAGACCACAGAAATTAGATTTAGCCCTAGCAACCCATACAAAACCAATATAAAAGAAGTAATTTAGAATGAAAAGAAAACCACAGTTTCAGATCCAATTACAACACCTGATGAAATCTTAAATTCAAATGAGAGCTTATCTAGTAACATGGAACTAGACTCTTTAACTGCTAATATCAACACTAATCTTGAAACCAATAAAACAACTGCTAACCTGAGCAATAAGGTGGAAGAATCTAACTTCAACTCTACTGAGCAAGATGAAACTCCATTTATGACAGTAGTATCAAAAAAATATAAAGACAAAAGCTACAAAAAGAACAACCAACGCAGGACCCAGCTATATAGAATCCCAGAAAGCTCCAAGCGGAATTTTCTGGGACCCAAGAACTATTACTAAGAGAATTATCTCTTAGTGTAGCTTACAAACTCTATAATTTCTATGATTAAAATTGCTACACTAAATATAAAAAGTCTAAACAACAGACCTAAAGTACAATTTAGATATAATTATAATACAAGAAACCAACTTAAAAGACTCAAACACAAGACAATTTTTATCACAAAACATCAAGTTTACTGAAAAAGAAGAATCACATAACGGGCGAGTTATTAAAGCCAAGACAGAAATTAGACATCAAGCTTTTTCATTCACCAATGTTTATGCTCCACCTAGTCTGGATAAAAAAACTTCTTTTCTTAGAAATTGGTCTTCAGATACCTCTAATAACAATATAAGCATTATTGCAGAAGATTTCAACACCAATCTGAATCTAGAAACCAATAAGATAAGCCAAGCACCAGCACAATATGATCAATACAAAGGTCTTTTAGAAAACTTAACAAAAGATTACATAGAAAGCCCTTTTCTTATCTATTATCAAACTACTCAGGAAGGTCAAAGAATGGCAACTCACCTAGATTATATACTAATTGAAACAAGCTATAGTCATTTGTGTGTGAATATATGCACTCACTTTGGCAACTTAGACCACTTACTAGTGGAGAGCGAAATTAACCTCAAGCCCAAATATCTGAAGAAATCTCTTTGGAGATTTAACAAAAAACTCTGAAATTTGCCTGAATTCAAAACAGATATCACCACAGAGCTTCAAAATATCCAAGACACTAAAGATTGGGACTAGTACAAATGTGTAATCCAATCTATAGCAAAAGCTATTAAAGCAGAACCAGCTACTGAGAAAAACATTCAAAAGCTTCATAAAAGACTTAATAGTTTTAATAACAAACTTGCAAAAAACCCAGAGCTTGATTTTAAGCTACAAGAAGAACTTACTTTTTTATCTGACAAATGGTGGCTAAGATCCAATACCAAATGGATCGAAAAAGGTGAAAAATCTATCAAATACTTTTTCGCATTATACAAAAAAAGAAGTACAGGCACTTGTAGCTCCAAGATCTAAATTTTCAATAATTCTGCTTTAGCTACACAAGAACAAGTTAGACTATATTAAAGAATCCTACAGAAATATTTACAAAGAAGAAGCTATTGATAGAAAGGTAGCTCTGCAGCTTACCAAGAATTTAGCACAGGTCTCTTCTGAACAAAATTTCTCTTTAATCAAATCTATCTCAACTAAGGAAGTGAGCCAAGTAATTGATAAACTTCTAAACAACAAAATACCAGAAATTGATAGACTTATATATGAGTTCTTCAAAGATACTAAGGAAATTATCATACCAAAACTGACAAAACTATTTAACAAAGTTTTGAAAACTGTGATTATCCTAATATTATAGAGCAAAAAGCCTTATCACATTAATATCTAAAAAGGCTGACAACTTATTAGAGCTAGGCAACTAGAGACCTATATCTCTAGTTAACTCAGATACCAAAATTTTGGGACACTTGAAGAATAATTAACCCAGTGATAATCACATCATGTGAAACAATACAATGATATCATTTGTTTACTAACACTATCAAATCGGCCTAAACTATATTATCACCTGACCCCAACACTAACCCTAATTTAGGCTGAAAATTTAATCATGTAATGTGATGATCACAAAAATATCACTGGGTAAACTGTTCTTCAATCTACCCAAAATTTCATAAAATTTTGGCCAACAGAGTTAATACTATCTGTGATGATTTAATTGGCCCAGCACAACAGGCATTTATATCTAAAAGATCAATTACAGATTCAGTATTAGATATTATTATCATGGTTATGAGAAATCAAAATGATCAGACCAAACAGCACTGGCTTCTTCTCTTAGATCAACAAAAGGCTTTTGATAGAGTTAATCATGACTTTATTCAAATAGTTCTAAAAAAAATTAACTTTGACTAAAAGTTTAGAAATGTAATCAGTTCACTCTTTGCAACACAAAAAGCACATATAGTAGACTCTGGAATGATTTCAGAACCTTTTAGAGTAGAACAAGGAGTAAGACCAGGAGACCCTCTCACCTCTCTTATATATATACTGGCTATAAATCCACTTATTCATACAATTAATCAAAATATTAAAGGCATTTAAATCAATAACTCGGCATTCAAGATATACAAAAAAATTCTGTACCAGCTTTTGTTGATCATTGCCAATCATCTATCATGTGGTAGTACTTGTGATATACAGTTTGATCATTTTTATATCTCTATAACAGTTTTGTGTATACATATACTATTTTATTGCTTTTTTGGCTCTTATTTTGTTAATCAATTTTTATAATATATGTAGCTAAATATTTAAGCCAATAAACCTTTAATGTATGTATATTATACTGTATATATAAATTATTAAGATAAGGGACATAACGAAAATCAGGTGATTTTTTAGAGGGGAGGTGGGTAAAAAAGTGTTTTTTTTTATATTAAGAGGGGGGAGGGGGTAAGCCTCTGATAAAAAATAATCAGGTGATAAATAACACTACTCTAACTCTTCTTTACTTCTTGGGTTGTTTAGAATATAATTTTATATGTAATTCTTATTTTAAATCTGCTAAATTTTTTCTTTTGACAAAGTTACATTTTTAAATTGTATCAAAATTGCAAAATTTTAATTTAGTTTAAACTACAATTTTTTCACCTTTTCTTGATATATTTATTCATAAAATTTAATTTAAAGTTAATATATAAATAAAGAAACATCATTCAACAAAGTTTATATGTAATTCTATATGTTTTTGCTATAAGTTTATATATACAAAAATTTAGGTATGATATATTGTGTAACTGGTATATACAATAATTATTGTCTAATTAAGTACCAATATTTATTTTTTTTATTTTTTTTTGGTGAAGTATTAGAACTTTATATTTAAATTAAACATAAATTTTCTATACTATATTTCTGTACTACAGCATCAAAGCCTAGGTGCAACCTGCCTAAGCAGCCAATTTGCTTCATATTAGATCCTCAACTTACTGAGGATTTGGTTTCTTCAATCCTTATCTAGAAGCTACCAATCTTGTCAGATATCATCATTTTTTGTTGTAATATTGGTCCAGGAGGATAAGTTTGGTTGTTTTCTTTTACCAAACTTAGAACTCACTTCTCTTTTTCCTTGAGGCTTTTTTCCGATCTTCCCTCTCTGTGGTTCTGTTTTCTTTGTTCTTTAACTCTTGTATTGGTTTCTTTTTTCTTATTGTCTCTTTTGTTCTTTTGGCTTTGATGGTGATTTTATTTCTTTTTTCTCAGTCATTTAATAGTTTGCATCTAAAGTTTCATATACAGGTTTGGAACCTTGCATCAAACTTCTTTTTAATCATATCTAGCACCTTTCATCTTACATTTCTATTTTCTATTTTCTCTTCAATCTTAGCTTTTTCTTTTAGTTATAAGGCTTCTTACTAGATATCTTCTTGTTTCTAGGTTTTCTTGTATATTTTCTTTTTGGAGTATTTTGAAGCTTTTGTTGCTAGCTTCATTTTCAATAATGTTCTATATATTTTGGTACTCTTTGCATTCAACAAGATGATCTAAATCTTCTGCCTTCTCTTTGCATACTATACAAGTATTTGTCTTGTAGATCTCAGATTTCCTTATATTCAGTTCTGTCAAGGTTGGCAGTATCTCACCTAGGTACTTGACATAAAATATTCATCTTTTAAAAAAAAAACACTCTCTCTTTCTCTGCTATTTTGGTAGTAGAGAGTATAGAAAAACACAACAACAAACAAAACTAGACACTTGACTTCCAAACTACTAACAAGGGTTAAAACCCTTGTCCTCAGGAAATATAAACAAAAGTGCTTAAGCATGTCAAGCTCCACAGTAACAGGACAGAACAGGAGAATTAAAAAGGCCAGAACTTCTAATACAAAAGAAAATGATGCTTTTTTAGATCAAAACAAGCACAACAAGGCTTTAGAACTTGCTAAAGCAAGTCAATATACAGATCAAAACACAAATAACAACTTCTATAATGAAAAAAATTTAAAGCTACAAGATATAACCAATATAGTTTTGAACAGCAAAAGCAAAAAAAAAAAAACTTCTACTCTTGAAGAGAGAGAAGTACAAAACACAACAATAGCAGACACGTGTCAAGATCTACCAAAACAAACAGAACACGTGGAGACACATGAACAGATAAACAAACACGTGAACATCTAAATTATTTGTTAAACTCGAAAGAGGAAGAGCAACATACTCAACATATGCCCCCAGAAAGAGAATTTATACTAAAAACAAATTTGCCTTAATATTTGAAACCCATAATCTTGAGAACATCTCTATAGCTAAACTAGTAGAAACATTAGCAATTAAAATAGGAGATGATCTTGTTGCAGCAAAACCTGTAATAACTAAGAACAAAAGAACTCACTTGGAAATTATTCTTCTAAATGAAGAGAAGCAGCAATTCTATGTGGCAGAAGGTCTCATGGTCTTTAACCAAACCCTTCAAGGATATATTCCTGTTAATATTTACCATAACTTCCTCTCAATCAGACTCCGAAACACCTCTATAGGTAAGAAAGAATAAGCCTTTCAAGATATAGGTACTATTTTCTTAATCAAACTATTGGTATACAAGGGAACCTTGGT